AAGCTATAGCCGCTGCAATTTGCATACAATCTCTAAACAACATCCAAATTTCCCCCAACAGGAAGTATTAAAAAAATAACCAAAGCCAAGAACATAAATGTAATATACAGCTGCTTACAAGTCCTTAAATGCCGTGGCTGCATTTAGTTTTCTTTTTGTTTTCGGGCTTTAGAATATTTTTAGCAAGTACAGGAACTACCTGTTGATCTTGCCAGAAATGCCGTGTCCTTATCACGTCTTGTATGATGGATTGGAAGTATAAAACAATGTTATCTTCCTTCTGTAAACCGCTAATCTCCCCATGTAACAGAAATAAACAAAGGAAGACTTGTTTGACGTCCGGCCTTGGTGGCAACCATGGTTCCCTCCATAGATACAGCACAGGAGCCAACGTGGTCACCCTACGACAATACTTGTGTTATTGGCAAGGAAAAACAAGCCTGAATAAAGAAAACTAATGCACATGGACTAGTAAGCTGAAATATATCATTTTTTTGTTGTCTTGGGGTTTAGAAGTGCTTTAACCCTTTGCCAGACTCGACCTTCATGAATTATTTGGTTTACCCCGAGATGTAGAGGTGAAGCAGTGGAACGTTATTTAATTAAGCTACGTGGTAGCACAAACTGCGTCTTTGGGCAATAAGGGAAGGGCCTCCTTTGCTTATCGCTATCATGTGGCTTGAGCAATCAACGCTTCATCGTTTAATATTCAAGCTTTGATCAGAGACTAAAAATTGTCCTAAACCAGCATCAATGTGCGTTAAAATGTTCAAGTGACGGTGTCTTTGAAAGGCCCAAGAAATGTTCATTGCAACTATCTGGATAAACGCATGTAAAAGTTCCACAGGCATATCAGAACTGGGGGGGTATTTGATGTAAAGTTCTGATCCTGAGGGTAGACGGTTGGGTCACATGGATGGCTAGCTGTCAGTTATCCCAATGAAGGACACAGCGCCAGGTTCTTCTTGTAGGAATGTTGGCTCACTGTATAATGTCGAATGGCTCTAGATCTGAATAGACACCGGAACTTTAAACCTAAACAAGTAAACCTAAAACTTCATGTGGCGTTTTAGGTTTACGTGGCCTGAAATGGCGGTTCTAAAAATCCTGTTAAATGTCACTTCATGAACTATATATACAGCGAGGGGTCATCTCCATACTTCAGGGATGTCCAACCTCTGGCCCTCCAGCTGTGGTGAAACTCCAAATCCCATGAAGTGTCTCTCTCTCCGGGAGTCATGTCTGTGGCTGTGAGAATCTTGCAAAGCCTCATGGGATTCGTAGTTCCACCACAGCTGGAGGGCCGCAGTTTGGACATCCCTGCCATACTTAGACCAATTTGCCATTGTCACCAGCGTGAGCGTATCACAAAATCCGCATAGTTCCATGACTACCAATATTACTTTTTTTCAGTAAACATGTGATTTTTTTTATTTTCTTCTGGTGATTACGAGAAAATAACCCTACAAAGTAGCAGATTGGTTGCAGCTACTACAGCGATTCATCCGTCGCAGTTAGAGATGAGCGAATCGATTCGACAATCTGGGGACTTTGGCTGTTCTGCAAAGGACCCCGCAGGCCATTGCGGATTACGATCCTTCGCAAAGCCTGTGGTGGCCCGAATGGGTTGGCTCATCTCTGGTGGTAATATTTCACTTTTGAAATGTAAAGCAGCTCCATGATGTCGTAGGTTATGACACGATTACCAGTTATTACATATTAGGATCATTCTTCGATGCTGTGCATCATTGCCTTTTTCGCCATATCACCCTAAACTAGGGCATCTGTCTGTTGAACTGTCAGGTTCTCAATAAATTCAAATGAAGTTTTCTCATTGCATTCAAGTGATTCACCTGCCACACGTGTGATTTTTCCATTTCACTTGTTGTAAGCTTCATATTTTTTTTTTTTTAGGAAAGTGCAGAAAAGATCATCGGTTTATGTTGTAATTACCAATTTTGTTTCCTCGTTCTTCTAAACTTGTCCCAAGTGCTGCCATTTTGCTTGTTGCCATTGAGGAGCTATAAACCTCCAGGAATGTCCTGTAGATAAATATGTGAATACATTCGTTAGGTCGTAGTAGCAACTTGCACAGATTGAACTTCAAGCTGACCTAAAATACAAGGCTGGTAGTCTTCCCTCCACCCCCTTGATTACTCCCTAGGTTCCAGACACTTCCTGTAGCTGACAACCAGCCTCATCGTAGGATCCTTGGAAAGCTGTAGATCCCAACTCTTGCAAGAAGATGCTCTAGCACCATGCAGAAGGGCAGCCTCATGGAATTTGGGATCCTCAGATTTCCCAGGATCCAACGAGAAGACCTAATAAAGTCACCTCTGCCTAGATGAGCTTACTGGAAACTGGGATGATCCGTTTCTTTTTTTTGTGATCCGGGTGGGGTGGGTTGCCACATAAGAGGACAGTGCCAGGTTCGCTTTAAATAAGTGGACTGGTACAAGGCTTGAAGAGGCTGAATATGGCTGATGGGCTTAAGAAAAGAAGCAGGAACATGCAGAACAGTTTTGCCTGGCTTGATGCTGCTGTACAGTTTTGCTCATGGCAACAAGCAAATAAGTCACCTAACAGATGGTATAGGACAAGACAGGTAACAAATACTATTTGCAAAGTTGATGGTTTATATTGATTATATATATATATATTTATTTATTTATTTGTATATATAACATTTTTCAGTAACAACATTGAAAACAAACTGCAACTCCAGTGGTGGCTTATAGTGTATGTCTGGTCAAAATAACAACCTGTTTAGTACATATCTGCTATACGTGCCCTGCCAGAGCTATACATCTCTGCTATACATGTCCTGCCAGAGCTTTACATCTCTGCTATACATACCTTGCCAGCGCTATACATCTCTGCTATACATGTCCTGCCAGAGCTATACATCTCTGCTATACATGTCCTGCCAGAGCTTTACATCTCTGCTATACATACCTTGCCAGCGCTATACATCTCTGCTATACATGCCCTGCCAGAGCTATACACCTCTGCTACACATGCCCTGCCAGAGCGTATACATCTCTGCTATACAAGCCCTGCCAGAGCTATACATCTCTGCTATACATGCCCTGCCAGAGCTATACATCTCTGCTATACAAGCCCTGCCAGAGCTATACATCTCTGCTATACATGCCCTGCCAGAGCTATACATCTCTGCTATACATGCCCTGCCAGAGCTATACATCTCTGCTATACAAGCCCTGCCAGAGCTATACATCTCTGCTATACATGCCCTGCCAGAGCTTATACATCTCTGCTATACATGCCCTGCCAGAGCTTATACATCTCTGCTATACATGCCCTGCCAGAGCGTATACATCTCTGCTATACATGCCCTGCCAGAGCTATACATCTCTGCTACACATTCTAGTGTCCAAAATGGACATATGAAGAAGTCAAATGCATCTTCTAATAGAGTAAAGAAGGTTTAGAACCTCCGGAACAAGATGTCTTGGTGGGGTGCTGGAGCTTGGCCATTGTAGGTATTCTGATTGACATGTCATGTGATGGTTTAGTCAAAGGCAGCTCACAGGAATCTGATGGACCCAGAATAGGGTCTGCAGGGTAGAAGGGCTATGATAAAAAGAAGACTGGGCCAGGATGTGGTTGATAGCCCAGTTAGATTTCTATCTCTCAAAAAGATAGAGAAGTAGCCAATGCATTTCTGGGTTAAAGATCCCGCTTCATCAGGGCTTGTGAGAGTTGACCCTGCAAAGTGGTATCCTGGAGATCCATTTGTAAAGTCCGTAGCAATAAGGCCGGTTCAGGTCGCTGGTCTAGCAGCCAATTGGGCTTTCCAGTGCAGCCTAACACTCTTCTTTTTATCAAGAATTTAGGGCCCATTCACATTACATCCAGATCATCTCGAGACCAGATTGTTTCCGGACTAAAAATGCATCCTAATGTATCCCTATGCTATTTCTGGCCTCTGTTCAGTTCCAGACCAGACAAATACCGCACGTCTCATTTTGTGTGGTCTGGAATGCACTGGATCTGCAGGCAGGTTCTCTCCATTTTCTGGACCAGATCTGGTCTGGAAAATGGTTTGAACCTGCCCTTAATCCCCCCCCCCCTCATTTCCTGTCCAGGTGTCAGAAAAGGGAGAGAAATCTCCTTTTGAGATACAAATAACAATTAAAGGATAAAAGTGTCAAAAGGGAGACAAACCTGAGAGAAGTTTGAACCTTTAACTGCTTGATCTGCAACGTACAAAAGAAAAAGCAGGAAGCAAAGTCTGCATATGGAATCTGTAAACCTCTCAGCTGAGTCTTAGACTTTGGGTAAATTATTCCTGGAAATAACCATTTTTTGGACAATAAATATGAGAAAATGTAATTACTGAAATCTGATTGATGAATGAAACCTTACAAAAAGAAGATCCTCTTTCCACGGAAGGTTGTAGTTTTTTCTGGTCTTGTTAAGTTTCCGCCTTTCATTTTATCAGAGATTTGTGCCTTCACTTGAAGCAGGAGGTGCCTCGGGATTCACTGATGTCCCTTATTCCTAATGGATTGGCTGAAAATGACTTTCAAACACAAGATGGCTGACGCTTTT